CTATGTAATTCCCGTTAACTGCTACATTGTATGTAACTCATTTGTTGTTGTCATATTGATATTCATTTAAGATGGATTTAGCTTTTTAACTTTACACTGTGCTGCTGAGAACCTGTTAGGGTGTTTTCATGGTTACATTCCAGGTGCATTGAAAACTGATTCCAAGTTGCATACTCACAGGTGAAATTCTGGATGATATGGTGGTATGTTTATCTTCACCTCTGAGATAGTACCAAGTTACCCTTTAAATCATATCAGCTTACACCAGCGGTTCTCAACCTGTGGGTCGCGACCCCTTTGGGGGTCGAACGACCCTTTCACAAGGGTCGCCTAAGACCATCGGAAAACAAATATATTATTACATATTGTTTTTGTGATTAATCACTATGCTTTAATTATGTTCAATTTGTAACAATGAAAATACATGCTGCATATCAGATATTTACATTACGATTCATAACAGTAGCAAAATTATAGTTATGAAGTAGCAACAAAAATAATTTTATGGTTGGGGGTCACCACAACATGAAGAACTGTATTAAAGGGTCGCGGCAATAGGAAGGTTGAGAACCACTGGCTTAAACCATTATAGTGTGTACTTGGATTTACAGACTCAGGTCACCAGCACTTGCTCTGTTGTCAAGGTTCTTTATGTTTTGTAAGGTGTGAAATGGTATCTCATTATTTAAAATATATCTGGCCCCATGGCTGGCCATTGTGTGTGAATTTTTTTGTTTTGAAGTGTAAAAATGAATATAGGCAAATATATCAGTCTTTTTCTGAATGATTTCCTTTATGGATTAGTCTTTTTAGGTCTTAATATTTTAAAACTTGTTTTCTATCTGATCCAGCAACATTTGTTAATTGACTGGCTCATCTTTTACTATTAATTTGTAATACTACCACAGTAAGACACACACACACACACACACACATAAATATATGTATGTATTTCTGAGTTCTGAATTCTACTTTGGTTTATTCATTCACTCACTGGTTTATCAAATATAATTACCAGGAATATACCAGATGCTATTGGTATTGGGATATGTTAGCAAATAAAAGTGACAAGTGTAATCTGCGTTTGTTAGAATTTTAGCGTTGGTGTGTGTGGTTGGTAGAAAAAAATAAAACTTAGCATATCACTTGGCAAGAAGGGCTATGTGGAAAATGAAAGTAGAGTAAGGAGGATAGGAGTGAGGTGCTGGCTAGGTTGGGTAAAAGGGGTTGCCATTTAAGTAGGAGGAGTTAGGGTGCTTTGAAGGAAGTCTCTGGTAAGAGCATTCCAGTCCTGAGGTGGGAGTTGGCGTAATATTATCCAGGAAAAACAAGGTGAGCCTGTGTGGTTTAAACAAAGTGAACAAGGGCTGAGTAGCAGGAGACAAGTAGAGAAGTTAGTTAGGAGCCATCCAGTGTATGGACTTGGAGGCTGTGGTAAGGACATTCATTTTTATTTTCACTTTGAGAAGATTGGAAGCCATTAAAACTTTTAAACAGAGGAGTGACATAATCTGATTTAAGATTTTAAGGCTCACACTGGCTACTGTGTTGAGACCTGTGGTGGTGAAGTTGGAAGCAAAGAAACCAGGAAATGGCTGGTGCAGCAATTGAGGTTGGTGCTTGAACTTGGGGGAAGTGTTGGAGGTAACCAGAAGTGTTCTAGTTTTATTTTTTTCTGTCTAATAAGTTTTGATTTTATGTTAACCAGTATGTATTATAGAGTTCCAGACAATGTCTTTTCATCAGAGAAGGTTTCTCTTTTTCCGCTGGGCAGACAGGCTGAGGGGACAACACAGTCAGGATCTAGGTAGGCCAGTGGCACCTTTGTAGTCTTAGTGAGATCACTGGTTTATTTCTGTCATTTTGGTGTGGTCCTTCTGAGCTTTTGATTGAGAGTTTTGAAGAGACTATTTATTGATAATTCATTTCTTCCCCCACAAATATTTGTCCCTTGACATTAATCATACTAGAGGCCCGGTGCACAAAAATTTGTACACTCGGGGGTCCCTCAGGCCAGCCTGTGCCCTCTCACAGTCTGGAACCCCTCGGGGGATGACCACCTGCTGGCAGTCAGACATCCCTCAGGCAGCCCGGGAGCCCTCAGGTGATGTCCACTTGCCAGTGGGGAGCAGGCCTAAGCTGCAGTCGTACATCCTTAGCACTGCTGAGGAGGCGGGAGAGGGTCCCACCACCGCCGCTGTACTGGCAGCCATCAGCCTGGCTTGTGGCTCAGCAGAGCTCCCCCTGTGGGAGTGCACTGACCACCAGGGGGCAACTCCTGCATTGAGCATCTGCTCTCTGGTGGTCAGTGTGTGTCATAGTGACCAGTCATTCCCAGTCATTCTACTGTTAGGGTCAATTTGCATATTACCCTTTTATTATATAGGATAATAATTGTAGCAAAATTATTAGGAACACCTACCATCTACTAATTTTCTGGAATTTCAGTGTTGAGGCAAGTGACTTTTAGTACAGAATCTGTGGCAAACAGACATGGATGTTTAATACTCTCAGGAAAGTAGAATTTGAAAAGTAGCATATTCAGTTAGTAGATCTTAAAATATATAGTTTTGCTTTTCCCATGAAAACGTTTTCAGGTAATTTAAATGCGAAAAAATTAGCCACTTACTAATTTAGTCAGGTTGCTCTAAGGACTTTACTGTTTAATTGGACCTTAAGCTCATATTGTATATATAATCTTTTGATATTTTCCTAAGCAGTTTAGCATAATAATTAAGAAGAGGAACTTTGAAACTTATCAAATTCTATTCCCTCTGCCACTTACTACTTGTTTCACTTTGCACTCTACTTTCCTCTGTACCTTTGTTTCTTCATCTGTGAAGTGGGAATGATAATAGTATCTCTGTTATAGGATTGCTGTGAGGGATAAACTGGTAAGTCCATAGAGATTACTTAGCATCATGCTTCATACTTAGTAAGCACTCAGTGAATGTTAGGTTTACTATGTTTATTTCCCATTTTTATATTTTAAATATTTGGTTTCCCAAATAAAACAAACATACAATATATATATTGTATCCAAACATACCATATATATATATATATATTGGTTCAGAAGACAGATGCATTATTACATCCTCTACCATCAGAAAGCCGTGCTGTTTTAACATAGCTAACAGTTCAGTCATTTCCAGACCTGGATCTTAGTTTCTGACTTTGAGTGTTAGTACCTGAGAATTTTGGTTTGTTACCAACTTCTAGAAGCAAAGCAGCTTGAATTAATATACTGCTTTCAAGTAGATGGGAATCAGTAATTTTGATTGCTGTTGTAGGTTTATGAATAAAATTCCTATAAGCATTCATGTACAGATTGTTGTGTAGCCTTAAGTTTTCACTTCACTTAGGTAAATACCTGGAAGTGGGATTGCTGGGCCATGGGGTAGGTGGGGTAAGTGTACATTTAACTTTTTAAGAAACTGCAAAACTTTTCCAAAGTGGCTGTACCACTGGAAATGGCAGTATCATTGTTCCATATCAGTGACAGCACTTGGTATTTTCAGGGTTTTCATTTACTTCAGCAATTCTAATAGGTGTCTAGTGGTATCTTCCTGTGGTTTTAATTTGTATTTCCCTAATGAGTTAATTGCATGATGAGAGACATGAAGCACATACCAACAGAGGAAACTGTAACTGAAAAGGCCTTTTATAATTGTGTCTGATGAAAGTCATTGAAGGAAGGCCACTGTGGCTGGACTATCATTTTGGAAAGGATACTCCCGCTGCAGCAGGAACTCCGGGAACATGTGGTTATTATGGTGGCCCAGGCAACAGATGATGGTAGTTTGGACTAAGGCAGCGATTTTCAACCAGTATGTTGCAAGAATTTTTAAAACATGCAATACCTGACTATTTAGTTAGGGGCACTGACCTCTTTTCTCTTAGATTGTCAAATAAAGACAATAGTCAACACAACAATGGCTGTCCGGTGTGAATGAATCAAAATATATCTTTTTTTGTCTGATTGGCAAAAAATTAATATTTTTTTCTGGTGTGCTGCAGACTTTTATTAAATAGTTTGTATGTGCCACAACACGAAAAAGGCTGAAACTGTTATATGCTGAAGTGGGCTTGAGGGATTCTTTTTTAAAGAAATATTGATCGGACATAATAATAAACTGGATCTTGGATGCTGTAGGATTAAAAGATTAAGAAGACAGTCATGGAAAGGATTATCTTAAGTTTATGGTATTTATAATCATGTGGATTATGTCCTCCACTACTGTATATTTCAGCACCTTACTCAGCACAAGGCATGTATGAAGTAAATATTTGTTGAAAATGAATGAGCATTGTTTTAGTTATGAAAACATTATATTCAACTGCAGTATAAATTATGAGTAGAAAATATATTCAGCAGAATTATACCCAATAATTTATTCTTTACATTGAAATTTAAAAATACATTATACATCCAGTGGGACCTAGACAATAGTTTATCTTTGTATAGTTTTTCCTAATAACATTTGTGTAACAAGCTAGTATGCAGTACAGTCATTTTATAAGAGAAATAATGATAAAACACTTCAAACTTATACTGAATCTTTACTATTTTTCTTATTATTACAGTGGTTCCCAAATTTGTTCTCCCAATGCAACACATTTTAGCTTTGTCATAAACAATTCTAGCTTTTTACCGATTCAAGAAATTAGAAAATATTGACATCTAGTTTCCTCAAGTTCCTTCTGCTCTTCTCAATTATGCTGAATTACTAAAACACACACACACACACACACACACTCTCTCTCTCTCTCTCTCTCTCTCTCTCACACTTTACTGTGGAAAACGTTATTGGCACTGCAAACTATTTTGGACAAGTATTCTCCTTAAAGTAAGGAATTGAAACCTGTACAATATTTTTATTCTAAAATCTTAATTCATTTTGTAAAGCATATTTGTCACTAGTAATCAATGTTTGGATACTAAATGTTAACAGCACAGGCGACAATGCTCACACTGCTTGTATGGATATGCCTTACAGGTGTGTTCTGCTCCCGCTTTTGGGAATGAAGCCTCCCCAGCAAAGCCTGTATCTGCTTGTGGATTCAGTTGATGAAGGCTGTAACGTCACTGAAGGTGAACAGACGTCCACCAGCTTATCTGGGACTGTGGCAGAGCTTTTAGCTGGTCACCATGAGTTCTTTCCACCATGGCTATTGCTTCTCTGTTCTGCCCGAAAGCAGAGTAAGGCTGTTACTAAAATGTTTACTGGTAAGCATGATTCCTCCTGCTATCCTCCAGTGGTTTTCATGGATGAACTAGTCTCTGTGGCTCCTTAGAGGAGAGTATGCAGTGGAAAATCTGGTGGTTGCTTCTAGCAGCTCTTTGCAACAGTACTTTTTTAAAGTTGTGTTAAAAATAAGCCATGGGATGTTTTAAGATCCTTTAATATTACCTGTTTCAATATTCTTTTCCTAATTTTCTTAGTGAAGATTAGGAGTATTTCATGCCATAGTAGCTGCTATAGCTCTATAGAGCTTCATTTATTATGCTGTTATATCGGTTTGTGATATTCTAACTAGACTAAGCATCTTGAGAGTTGTGAATATGCCTTTTTAAAAATCAGTGGTAGCCCTGGCTGATGTGGCTCAGATGGTTGAGTTGGTTGAACATCGTCCCATGCACCAAAGGGTTGCTAGTATCTTGGTCAGAGCACATGCCCAGGTTTCGAGTTCAATCCCCAGTCAGGAGTGCGTACAAGAGGCAACTGATTGATGTTTGTCTCTCTTCCTCTCCCTCTCTAAAATCATTAAAAACATATTAAAAAAGTAAATCAACGGCAGTTACCAAGAAGGTTTTCCTGGTGTGAGAGGAGAGACAGAGGCAACAGCTTTTTAGGATACCTCTTGAAATATATCCTTTTTAAAAATCCTTTTCTGATATGTGAGTAAAAAATTGATATAATGTATAAAAGTACATGATCAGTTGTTTTTTCTTTTTTAACTTTTTTTCTGACTCAACTGTTCTACTTTTCTTACTATCACAATAAAGTTATGATCCTATTAGATCATGTAAAGCATTCTTTGTGCTTTATGAAATAAAAAGAGTGTAAAACAAGGACCACTCACAGGATTTATAGTTGGAAAGAAAGTAATTAAGTTATTGTAGTAGCCATGTCAATTTTAAGTAGTTCTATGTACTTTACAGTATGGTAAAACCTTACTAATTTCAAATGATTTCCTCCCTCTGTGGGTTGTCTCTTAGATTTCCTTGCTGCTAATGGCAGCACTTTTAGTTTCCATGTGTAGTATTTTTTGTTTTTGATAAAAACAGTTGATAAGTTTGGGGTGAAAATGACAAGAGTGAACACTGATGGAGCACCTCAAGCCATCTCATCATGTAGGCATTGTTTCATCTCACATTATCACAAGAAGAGAGAGACCATATTCACATTACTTTCATTACATTATATTGTTATAATTGTTCTATTGTATTATTAGCTATTGTTGATCATCTTTCTGTGAATAATTTATCAATTAAACTTTATCATAAATATTTATGTATAGGAAAAGACAGTATATATAGGTTAGGCACTATTCATGGTCAGGCATCCACACGGAGGTCTGGGGATGTATCCCCTACAGATAAGGGGGGACTGCTGTAATTCTTTTGAAAGCTATTATATGTAATCTATGTATTGTCTTTACTAGGATAATTTATCAAACCACAAACTTATTTTCAGCACTATTTATTGACTCTCTTTCATCATACAATTAAGTTCAGGTATGTGTGTGCATATGTATGTGTCAGTGTGTTATTGATGTATTTCTAAACTGTGCTTTTTTGAACTGTCAGCATTTTTATGCCAGTGCAACATTGGTTAAATATTTTTAATTGTTTGGTACAGTTACTTCCTAGACCTCTTTGTCATTAATGTTATTCTAAATTATATATTTTTACCTATATTCCTCCAGACTGAGTTTAATAGCATATTTTCAAAAATTATAACTATCCATGATATAAACCAAAAATATTATTAGATTTGGTTTAAAATTTTGGTTTAGTTTAGGAAAAGTTTGACATTTAAAATATGCTTTTGTTCCATCTATGAACATAGCTTATATTTTGATTTTTTTCAGCTTTTTTCTTAGACTTTTCCGTATTTCTTATATATATATATACCTGTGCACCTTCCTGCTCATTGCTACTGTTGTAAGTTGAAATATGTAGTTTTTAAATTGAGAAGTATGCATTCAAATTTAAAACCTGCAGGCGCATAATCTTAGGACAGTAACATAGTAACATTTTTACTATGTTTAAATCAGTTTCATCTACTCATATCTAAGCACTTAACATTTTGTGAAGAGAATTTCTTTCCTCATGTATATACTGTACTGACCAATAACATTTTTGTTAACAGCTTCAGATTAATGTAATGAAAAATCCCTTTGGCACTAAGCAGAATCTTGTTTAAATATGAAGGTATTATCATCATAAGCTACTAGCTATTGATACTTGTTATGGGACTAAAAGAAATAGCAGTCCATTTGAAAACATTTTGTGTATAAAAAAATTTAACTTCAAAGATTTTTATACATATTTATTTTATCTGATTAAAAAAATAATACTCCTGACCAGCATGGTTCAGTGGTTGAGCGTTGACCTATGAACCTGGAGGTCACGGTTTGATTCCTGGTCAGGGCATATGCCTGGGTTGTGGGCTCAATCCTCAGTAGGAGGCGTGCAGGAGGCAGCCGATCAGTGATTTTCTCTCATCATTGAAGTTTCTATCTCTCTTTCCCCCTCCCTTCCTCTCTGAAATTAATAAAAAATGTATATCAAAAAAGTTTTAAAGAATACATGCTCCATGTAGGTAATATTTTAAATGACAACATACTCAAATAGTACATCATTCAGAGATAAAGTAATAATTAGCCACTCTTGACCACTTTGGATTAAATTCTGTGTATGTTACCCTACCTAGTTGAAATCATGCTTTCTGTCAATTCAAATTCTATTTTGTAAATTTAACAGTTACAAGCCTTCAGTGTCGCTGTATTTTCTTTTCAGTAGTTATTTTAATGGATATATAATTTATTAGTGCATCAATATGCGAGAGTTCACTTAACTTTCTTATCATGCTGTTAGGTTTTATTATATTTTCCATCCCCACAGATTCATCAGGATAACAAATAATTGCATTGAGCATCAGTTTATAAGTTTTGGCACAGGTCCTATCATTCTATCATTCTACTTTCACCAGCTCTGAGTAATCTCACATCCTGAGAAATGTCTTAAGTAAGGATATAAAAGTGGTCAAACATTTCAATAAATCGTGTTTATATTCGCCTACAATTTTTGAGCATTTTTCAGCCTTATAAAAATTTTAAAAGTGTTTTAATATAATGTACTAAAATTGTGCATGTTCCTAAGAAGGGAATTACATGTACAATGGTCAGAAGTTGCACTATAATAAAAGCAATTATTTTCAGTAACTTTAACTTGAGATATTCAAATGTTTAGTTAGATATTCTTAGTTATGTATTAATGAACAAATAACTATCATTAATGATTAACACATTAATTGATTCTATGTAGATTCATATTACTAAGTATATTTAGATTTGGGAACACTTCATTTTTTTAATTGCAAGTATTTTATATCTATACTTGATGACATTTTCTCTGCTTTATTTTAGAATTAATCCTATGGCTCTATCTTCTACCCTTCAATCCCCTATCAAGCACTTGCACTTTCTTTCACAATTTTCTCTGCCCATCGCCATCTTAATGTAAAGAGCAAACTTCAAAGTCAAAATAATCAGAATTCTGGATTATGATTTACCAGCTGTGCTACTTTGGGCAATTAACCTGGCCTTTATGAGCTTTAGCGTCTTCATTTTTATTTTAATTTTTAAAAATATATCTTTTATTGATTCCAGAGAGGAAGGGAGAGGGAGAGAGAGAAACATCAATGAGGAGAGAGAATCTTTGATCGGCTGCCAGCTGTATGACCCTGCTGGAGATTGAGCCCACAACCCAGGCATGTGCCCTGACTGGGAATCAAACTGTGACCTCCTGGTTCACAGGTAGATGCTCAAACACTGAGCCACAAAAGCCAGGCAGCTTCTTCAGATTTAAAGTAGGGAAACTTATCTCACAGGTTTGACATAAAAAGAAGTTAGGTATGGTAAGTATTTGAAGTGCTGCTTTAAAACTAGTTGACTCAGTAATTGTTGATCTCTCTTATTTGTTTCTCAGGAACTAAACCTGTTATTATGAGGTTTAGCCTGTTTTAATTATCTCAGGTTTCAGTTGTGGTATCTTAGGTTAAGTAGGTTTAATTTACAAATATCCTATTTAATAAAAGAGAAACATGTAAATTGATCATCCCTCTGCTAAGCTCACCAGCCAATCATGAGTATGCAAATAAACCTGACGAAGATGGCGGGTTAATTTGCATACACAGACGCCGGGCTGAGAGCAGAGTGGGAGAGCCGGCGGCTTGGGGGGGACGTAGCTCCCTCGGCGGCGCGGAGAGCAGAGCAGGAGAGCCGGTGGAGAGTGGCTCCCCAAGCCGCCAGATAGAGTGCAGAGAGGGAGAGCTGGCGGCTTGGAGGACTTGGCAGAGTGGGAGGCCATGGGACAGAGACAGAGAAGGAAGGGAAAACCAAGAGAGCGGAGAGCACCAGATATTCTGGGAATCGTAGTTCTGGTGGCAGACGGATCTCCTAGACACTAGAGCAGTGGTTCTGAACCTATGGGTCGTGACCCCTTTGGGGGTTGAATGACACTTTCACAGGGGTTGCCTAAATACATCCTGCATATCAGATATTTACAATACAATTCATAACAGTAGCAAAATTACAGCGATGAAGTAGCAACGAAAATAATTTTATGGTTGGGTCACAACATGAGGAACTGTATTTAAAGGGCCAGAACGTTGAGAACCACTGG